TTCCCTTATCAATATGTGATGAGGGCTTGGAAACCAGAGATGGACAACAATTTCCCACTAGTTCAGAGAGGTGAATGTTACTCCTGCTAAAGGGACCTTTTCTTGCTTTGATTTATGCACCAATGAGGCAATTGCATTTATCACTGTGATCTAACACTTATTTGTACATGTAATCACTAACACTCAGGGGTTCCTCAGGGGCTATAAAACAGGCTCATGGCATTTTCCCACTGCCACTTTTTGCTTTGTGTGACAATGAAGGATCTAATTAGTGAGGGACCCCCATCATGTGTCTTCTATTAGCTGGTCTCCATGAAGAAAAGCTCTGTGGCTATCCCCAATAAATGGGGAGTTGAACCCTCTGTCTATGTCATGCTGGGAGGAGCGCTTCTTTAGCAAATCTGGTTGACCCTGTTTATGCTTGACTCTAATCAGGAGCAGTGCAGAGGGTGCCATGGTGGCAATAAAGCACAGAATACACCCTCTTCTTGTCTCTGTTTCTGTCTTTGCCATCCTCTGTGTGTAACCCTCCCCAAGCTAACACACAAACACGATGCAGAGCCCCCCAGAGGGGCACCAAGGAGGAGGTTATAAACTATTATAAGCCAGGTTAGCCTACAGTGACAGCACAGCTTGTTCCTCCTTCTTTGAGCAAGTCCGCGTGCTGGGCAGTCCCAGCCTCTCCTCCACCACGCTGAATAGAACCACAGGGCTCTGGCTCCACAGAGATAGTGTTATCTGGGCCGCCACGGGGCTCCGATCGCAGCCGTGTACACACATGCTCAGCGGGCAGCACACACATCGCACCGAGTGCAGACAAAGAAACATGTGGACCAACACAAACATTATGGGCATATAATGTATCCGCACAAAAGCACAAGTGCACACGGTCACTGACAAACAGAGACAAATGTGAAAGTTCACACACACCTTTGGGCACAATGGATGCCTCTTTACCCTTCAACTTGAGCCTGCGAGTGACACTTCTTTCCTCGCATTTCTTCTGCAAATCGAAATGACCTCTAGGGCTATACCTGGTATGAAAATGACCTGTAGCTGTCACAGGATCAGCCTCTTTGTCAGCTGGAGTGATTTTGTCCACGCACGGTGGTCAGTGGTCACACTCCTCGTCCAATCTGGCTGTAGTTCCTGCTGTTTTTAGGAATCTGAGTTATTTCACCCATTCCCGGAGATCTCCACACATGACCTGTCGCGGCCGGGAGGCGCAAGCCAAAGGGACGGGGATAAGCCGCATTTCTCCCCTTTTCCTCCAACAATTTCAATTAAAAAGAGATTTGAGGTGGGAAAGCACATTTTCATACAGGGCATGCAACCAAAATCCTGGAAAAGGGTGAGAAAATATGCGGCGGTAAGTTTTGAGAGCATTTTCTAAAAGTTATGATACATGTCATCTTTGTGGAGAATGCTCTGATAAGACATGGAATCAACGTGTGTGTGCGCCGCCCACGTGGATGCATGGCCTTCAGTTTACTAGCTTTGGAGAGAAAGAAAGCATTACATTTCACTGCATTCATGTGAACCTGCACTGTTCACATTCTGTACATATTCAATCTGGGTTCTTTATAACACAGATGTATATGTAATTGGTATTAGTCTTTACCTGTGCACCAAGACATGTTTTCTAACAGTGCAGTATATTTATTTTCTATCTATTCTGACAGTCACATTTGGCAGTCTTTGGCTTTAATTTATTGTATTTGCTGCTGCTTATCTGAACAGTTATTTATTTATTCTGTTCAGGGCTGGACTGGTAATCTGGATTACCAGGCAAATGCCCGGTGGGCCAACGCACTTTTGGGCTGGTAAATTATTTATTTATATAAATGTTTTTTTAAAAATGGGACAACAATCGGCTCGACAGTGGCCCATTGGGTAATTTTCTACACTGACACTGGGCCGGCCCAATCACATCTCTTACTTGCCCCCACCCCCTCTGCTCTCTGTTTCTTGCGTTACGCATGGAGTAACTCAACCTGTAGGGAGGGAGCAGGGAGGAGGGTCATTTACACTGGGGATGCTGGGGACATGTACCCACCACTTTTGAAAGCATTTGTTAAAAATGTTCTGAAAAATAGCTTGCACCAAGAAATGTTAATTAACAAATAAAAATGCTATGAAAAATGTTTATTTGCACAATAAGCCTGCAATGCAAATAGAGAGAAAACTGTGTTGTCCAAAAAAAGTAACTTAAGCTAAAAACAATAAGCTGCTGATTATTGCATTATATTCTATTATATTTTTATATTCTGAATTGTCACCTGCCACCTGAATTTTGTTCTTCCCTGGTGCAAAAAAATGTCTCCAGAAAATGTCCCCAGAATGCAGGAAATTAAGTGGTGGTATTATGCTCATTTTCAGGTTCAAAATCTTATTTAGACTCTTCAGACTGTGACTGTAACCTAGCAGATGGTATAAGTTACTCACAAGTCCACAACCACGCAACATCATTGTTCCACATCTTACCATAAACCACTACAAAAATCACCACATTTCAACTCAATTTTACATTAAAATTGGCCAAACAATTTGAACATTTGCTCAGTAGCTTTCACATCAGGTGTAACATTAGCATTATAGCTATAACTTTAGCTGTGTTAGCAACTCCACACTTGAACATTCTGTAAAGTTACATTGCCGTGTGAATTTAAATATAATTCAAAACCAATGAAGCATACTTACAGGTTGTGATTGTGAATTTCTAGGCCCAAACAGAGTCGGAGTTGCATCGTCTTTTAGGACTAAACGTTGAACTGTTGCCGTGTTCTGACGATCTATGCTGCCTTTCCGGAAAATGCTACCATAGCACAAATCGACAGACTCGACTCTACTCGGCGCTGCTCCGTTTTCCATTGCGGGTAGTACCCAGAGATAGTACGTAGCTTGTCGTTATAGCGATGCCACACACAACTGCCGCGACGTAATGTTCAATGCGACACACACACCAGCGATCCACACAGCTTTCTCTTTTTTAAGTTAAAACGTTAAGCGGTAACGTTACAGATAACAGATAAGCGGTATGAAAACCTTCCAGCTGTGTTTCCTCTGCCGTTGTTGCTGCAGCGGTCTGTGTGACGGCGGGAGCAGAGGGCTCTGTGAGCGGGTGGCTGGCCGGCCTCACACGCTCCTCCATGATTCTCTCTGACCAATCAGTCGTGTTTTCATGTTACATTTTAGTATCATCCCTCAGCTCGCTTGGAACCTCGATGGAGGTGAGGTGATCGGGCCATCGCTTGGCAAGCTTTATGACGCGTTTTCATAGTGACATCACAAGTAAAGGAAGTGAAGGGCTGGACTACAAACAAGCTGTTTTCAAGCTGTTCTGAGCAGAGCTTTCTGTGGAAGATGGGAACTCCCTTTGGGCTTTTTCACTTTGCAAACCTGTTACATGCACAAAAAGATATATAACTCAATAAAGCAGAGGGAAAAAGCCAAAAAGCATAATACCACCTCTTTAATGCTTAAAATCTTCTGTCCTCCCCCAGACCCCCCATCAACTATTTCATCAATACATTTTTTCTAAACAGTAGGCCTATTAAAATATAATATTGTCTTGTTGTCATGGCCCCAATCTTGTGCAATGTTGTGCAATTGTCTCATGGGTTAAGAGTTTTGTCACACCCCTCATTTGAGCCCTTAAATGGAAGGATGGTGTATTGGTGAGGGGTGTCTGACCGATTTTGGTGGGCCGCCTGGGCCAAAAATGCCAGGGCCGATTTTTTGTCCCAGTCCAGCCCTGATTCTATTTATTTTATCTGAAAGACTTTGCTTTTATACCTATTTTTCTCCATGTTGTTTTAAGTCATGCTAGCAGTTCAGTACTAGGAATGGCATTGTCAGCCTGTCAGTAGGCCCACTATGGTTCAGATGGAAATATCTTGGATGGTTGCCATGAAATTTGTTACATGCATTCACTGTCCGAAGAGGATGCATTGTAATCACTTTGATAACCCAACCTTCCTTCATCTGGTTCATCGTTTCAATTTGGTCCAATACTTTGGTTTATGGCCAAATTGTCCTACTAAATAGGCTATTTGAGGATGATGACATTCCCCTGAGACTTGACTGTACTTTATATTTAGTGCTCCTTAGAAAATTGTGCATGCTAACACACTGAACTATGACGGTGAACATGGTAAACGTTATACTGATAAACATTAGCTGTTTTACTATCATTTTGAGTATGCATATTAGCATGCTGATGTTATTCATTTAGTCCAAAGCACCGCTGCCTACAGCCACTCAGAGCTGCTAACGTGGGTATAGATTCTTAGCCTTCTTACTTTTGCATTCTCATACTAACTGTTGATTTTTTTTGTACAGAAATGGTTCCTAATTCACAATTGTTGATACAGATTAACCGAAGTTTGGCATCGGCATGTTAGAATTGTGAGCATGTTAGCATAGATGTTAGCATTCAGCACAGGTAGACTACAGCAACAATCTGATCTCACAGGAATACGTGAAATGACCCTAGCATGACCGTAGGCTCCTGCCTCGTTTACTTTGTTCACAGTGAGAAACCTTTTCCTCCTCAAATGTAACTGGCTTTACTTGCACCAAACACTTTGACCTCAGATACTCAATATGGTGTCTTCAGTGCAAATATGAGTATTGTCTCAAAAATTATCATAGAGTTGAATAAACACTCCTCTAAAACCGTTTCATCAAACAGATTTCCCGCTAAAAGTAGATTTAGCTATTGTCTATGGTATCAGATTACATTATATTGTATAGCTGTTTGTGCTATTATATCTACTCCCTGTATATTTCAAATACCGAGTGAGTCTAGAACTGTGTGTGCTGATTAATGAAATACTTAATGGACATTTTCATCTATTGACAGCACATACAAGCAGTGCTAACTCAAACATTAATCCTGGCTACATCTTTATATTGCGTTCTACCACATGTGGGGGTTCTAATCTCCGATTTTCCACAATGACAAGTGAATGATACATGCTTTTTCTTATTGTTCTTTCTTTAACTGACACCATTTATTGCATCAAGGCATGATTGCATTTTTAAACAGCTTAAAAAAGTACAAATTAAAATAACATGGTAAGATTAAAGAGTTCATATCAAACTTGATCAATATGATACAATAAGAAAATCTGGCGTTACAGAGTTGAATTTATGTACCTGCTCATCATTTGTCCCCCGCGAAACAACAGAGTTATTAGGTTCTCAAACACATTTTAAAAATCAGATGTGTGAAAACAAACCATACAAATTAAAAAGACCCAAACCAAAGTAATCAATAAGGACAAGGGGAAGTCCATCACCCAGTGACAGAAAACACAACTCTTTTTGTTTTCTTATTAATCGACACAGAAACACCAATGAAATGCATATGCCTTATCAACAAATTTGGCAAAATACAAAATATAATCAACAAATGCCCAGTTTTTTATATATATTTGGAAAGAAAAACGGTATATTTAAGCAAGAAAATGTCAACTTAATTTCAGTGTTGGAGTTGTTCAAAAAGAAAATGATCTGGACAATTAGAGCATATGTGTCACTTTCATTATGGTCAGTAAACTTTAGAAAATATCTTTTCAATACGACACAAAATAAAACTAAACCTCCTGGGGTGAAAAAAGCTTTTCTGCTTTCCTAAAACTGCTGCCTAACAAAGTGCATAATGTTTGATTTCTGATCTGCTCCTCTTTTAGCTTTGCAATACATAACTGTAGACAAATGGCAAATGTTCCTGCCTAGCTTCACGCTATAAACTTTACAGAATATATATTAAAATTGACTATATAACAAAGTCATACATGACTGATTTCTAATCTCAGACTATGAATTTAAAGTTTTCTTATCTCCATTCTTGCTCTGGTAACTGCTCTTTCATCATCTCACAACATTGACAGTTGAGATGAATGGCTGATTTCACTGCATGTTAGTAAAATAAAAAAAGCTTAATGCTAATGTAGCAAAATAGACTCAGGTGAATCTTCTCAGTCCCATAGTGACAGTGCTTGTTTGTTAAGAGTGCCTTGAAGGAGGGTGGTCAGGTTTTCTTCTGTCAATGCCATAAATTCATCAAAAAACCCCAGAGCAACAAATAGCTGCATTTCAATCCAGTTCAGCACTCATTTGAATACATTCTCTTATTACCAGCTGCCGGACATTTGAGCTGTTATAGTTTCAGAAAATCCAACTTAAAGGACAAGAATGTCTTGTTGTCTACACACAGTCAAGTTTTCTTCATTTTTCTTCCATCTGAAGAAACTTGTTAATCCTTCACAGTCCACATCAAACTTTGATTTGGTTTATGAAAATTACTCTGTTGTGTTGTCATTTCATTTTCCGGATATATCAGTGTTGTGCCATGTTACAGACTATTTCCTGTCAATCAGCTGACACCCTTAAGGAAGAAATGGGAGTCTATGCCAGGAGATAAGGCAGTAATCATGTTGCCCAACATATTTTTATAGTCAGATCAATCTTTGTTAGCTGTGTTCACAGTTTCAGTTCAAGATAGATTTGACATTATCATGTTTGTAACAGGACAAGTAAATTTACAAAAAATAAATTACAAATGCAGTTTACTGCAGACGGATTGGAGGGAATGCAGAAGTAACTGGACTGTAGTTCTAACTGTCACCACTGTTATCCTTTTGGGGTTAATATAGGGTTGGACCAGTAACCAGAGATGTTCAGGTCACTCAGTTTAAATAATCAGGAGTCAAGGAAGTTTGGGGTCACAGATAGGCCTCCACTCGTTCCCATGGGTGCATCTCTGTGAAGAATCCCTCGCACAGGCCAAATCCCTGATCCAGAGTCAGAGGTATTGTCTGAGCCTCTTCTTTGATCTCCTCCCAGGGTTGCAGCACCGTCCCCTCAGACTGCTCTGGGAACAGCGTGGAGGGCTCGTCGAACTGATGCAGGTGGTGGTGGCTTTGGAGCAGCTGGTCCTGGTCCAGCTGCTGCTGCGGATGCTGCTGCGGCACATGGAGCTCTCCCATATTGGCTGTGCAATCCATTAAAGCGGCGTTCAGCTCCATGTAACCGTAGGATTGATGGTGGCTCAGGTGCTGGCTCTGACCCATGATGTCCCCTCCTCCACACCACCTCCCCAGCCCCGCAGAGTGCTGCCTCCCCTGCATGGAAACCTCCATCTCGCAGCCCAGGGAGCTCAGCGCTGTGTTGATGTCCAAATCTTCAAAGGTGCTACAGTTCCCACTGAGAACGTCGTCGAACACGGATGCCAGGTCAAAGTCCCCCCTCAGCATGTCTGCTTTGTGGGCCTCTGTTGCCAAAAGAGGAGACTCAGTCAACCTCATTGCCTTGCTGTTGTTTTTAGAAGGCAGGTGCTTCCGTTTGCCGCCCACCCCTTGGTAAGGGCAGCCATCTTGAGTGCTGTGATAACCCTGAACCAGTTTGCTCTGTCTGTGGGTGCCACTGCTGCTGCTGTTGTAGTGGTTAGCAGACATCCTCCTGCGTTTGAAGATGCCATTGACAAACATGTCAGCATACTGTGGATCAATCTGCCAGAAGCCTCCCTTTCCCGGCTCATCTTTCTGTCTGGGGACCTTCTTGAAACACTTGTTGAGGGACAGGTTGTGACGAATCGAGTTCTGTGACAAAGACAAAAACACAAGGATAATTAACAAGATCCCATTGGCATTGAGCACATTTTAGTTAGTCATGCAAAAACTGAATGTGCCAGTTTGTCTTTGTAAGGGAGACGAGAAGAGAGAGAGGGGGGGGGGGGGGGGTATTGTTGTTGTTTGTATAGGAAAGCAAATGTACCTAATGAGGCCTTCTAGTAACATGCAGCTCTGTGCATTTCAAACATGATCAGCTGTGCTTAGCTGCCATCTCTCTCAGGAGCCCTCATTAACACACACATGCACATTAGAGTGCTTTCTCCACCCCATCACCATTCCCCTCAGACAAAAACCCTGTATGAGCACTCTCTTGGAAGATGGAAATTTCTGAAACCCTTGTATTAAAAACCACTTGTCATGGAAATCAGCAAAGGCTGAAATTAGACTCGAATCCTGCTGGAGGTTTTTCAGATTCACACTATGGCTGATGATTTTTGTTTTCCCACACTGATAAAAGAAAGGCCCTGTGGCATAAAGATGTGGTGTCTGATGGTGACACTGGGATCAATTGCTCACCCTTCTATCCCTCTCCTCGCCATTTATCTGACTCATCAATAATAGACAGAGGGTTAGCCGGTCTCGGTTACCTGCCAGCTGGGCTCCGCGTGTCTGTAGTAGCAGAAATTCTCCGTTATCCAGTTATAGATGGTGGACAGTGTCACTTTGGGCTGTTTGCTGGCCTCCATGGCCATGCAGATGAGAGAAGCGTAGGAATAGGGCGGTTTGACTTTAGGGTTGCTTTTGTAGTCGACCTCAATAGGCGGGCTGGCCTGGATGAGGATCTGTGGGTAGCTGTTCGCCGGATGTGTGCAACTGGCGAACCGCGGTGCCGCGGTGGAGTCGCTACCAGAGGTGACGGGGCTCCCGAGGTACGGAGGCATCCCTGTGGCGGCGGTGTCCCCGGCCGGCGGGCTGGACGGAGAGTCGGTGCCACCTCTGGGGAAGCCGAACCGCTTGAGATGCTGCTGGGCGGACGGGCAGCCCGGTCCAGCTCCGTTGGGTCGCTCCGGGTCCGCGCTGAGGATGGAGAAATTCTGGAGCCAGTGGAGGCTGGTGAGGCTGTCGTCCAGGGGGGCAGAGTCGGACCCGGTGACCGGATCCTCCGGGTGAACCGCCAGCCATTTCTCCTTAAACTTGTTGGCAATGTCGGGGCTCGTCAGAACCGGCATCCTGGCTTTGTGCGAGAGCTGAAGGCGGCAGAAGATCGTCAAATCGGCATTTAAAGTTTTGTTTAAATCTTGAGGTCAAAGGAAAAAGCAAAAGAAAACAGTTAGCCAAAAAAAAAAATGCATCTAAATCACCCCCACAGCCAAATATCAAATAAATCGCCACTGAAGAAATAGGCTAGTGTTTGGTTAAAATATCCCAATAATATCCCAACAAGCAATAGCCTATATTAATCCCACATATTGCTAAATGATACGTAATTTCCCTACCTCCGGTGCAGCCTTCTGGAGAAGATCCTGTGTGTGTGCACCTGTTGCAGTCCGTCCCTGCCTCTTCTCTCTAAGGACTCAGCGGCGCATCCAGTCTCTGCGCAACAAGTGCTGCGGGGGGAGGGCGAGGAGCATCCAGCAGCAGCTCATACGGTGGAAAAAGGAGAAAAACGCCACTCAGGACACATCAGTGCCGACTCAGGCGAACGAGACTGTTACTCATTCAAACGCTCGGCTCTGTTTGAGTGTCGGTGGGAGGTCAAGACCTGAGAATGTTTGGAGGTGGCAAAATAAGTCGCTCATAAAGCCCGAGAGACTGCCCACCATCCCTTTAAACGCCTGAAGGGATTTCTGATTGGCTGACTATCCTTGCTTCTCCAGGTTCTGCTTTAACAGCCCTCTCTCTTTCTCTCTCTCCCTTCATGTAGGCTATGTGTATCAGTCACCAACTAACTAACTCACTCACGCACACACAAAAGGGGAGGTGGCACTCAAATGAATGAGTCGAATGAGTGCACTACAGGTTCACTGCAGAGAGAACAGTCAGTGTGTGGTTTATCTGCCTTTAATCATTATCTTCATCCCGGAAACAGGCTGAAATGTGACCTCTGTGTGGTGCTGGCGCTGAGGGGGGAAAAAACGCGCCGCAGGTCCCGCTTGGAGCGCACTTTTGCACCTGCATGGAAAGCAGGCCAATTTAACGGATAAGCCTATATTTACCATCCCTTTTCACTGTGGATTATAGACCTGCAGTTTCCTATTTAAACGTCAAAAGGCAAATATTTTTTAATTATATAGAATCCGTTCTGACATTTATAATCCAGTGGCAATTAAAAAAACAAAAACAAGCCAGATCAGTGATATTGTGTGAAATTTAAAACCTCAGAGTAATAAAGATGTTTTGATTAGGCTATTTAAACAAATGGATTCAATAATGCAAATTTCAACAGAAGAGAATTGGTAGCAGAGTTCAGTCAGCTTGTTTAGATATAGTGAGGTTGAGCTGTCATACATCAGACATGTCATAGTATATCACACAAATATATAAATCAGCATATCCACTATTCCTCTTTAGTGATGGGCTTATAGACTACAAGGAAGCTGAGTTCATTGAGAACAACTACGACGTCCTATAGAGGTTTTTGATTCCCACCTCTTGGTATGGGCAATTTAATGTAGTTTAAACGCCCCACTGATAATGTTTTTTTCTCTGATTGATCTTCTGAAACTATTTCACCAAGCCTGTCAAATATTCACGTGACCCTATCAGCAGGCCTATACCATGTCAACTCAACAAAATGAAATTTGAGGTTTAGAGAAAGAGAAAGAGTGTAAATGGATTGTTATTTGGTATACATCAACACTAATCAGTCACTTTAAATGCCACTTTCGACACAAATTCACGTAAAACTGAAATGGAAGAGGCAATAGTGAATTATGAGCAAACATTGCCACTCAGCGGATTAATACTGCATTGCAGCTACACCAGACTGCCAAACTAAATGTTAAAGGTTCGGTGTGTGAGATTTAGTGGCATCTAGCGGTGAAGTTGCAAATTGCAACCATCTGTCCAGTCTAACGCTGCCCTACCCTATCAAAGAGCGTAGGACAGCTACGGTGGCTTCTGAGACAGCAGAGAGTAGCCAGTCAAGAAATTAGGTTTCTTAAGGTAGATATATTAATAAATTATATTTACTTAATTATTCAGTAAAACCATATGTTATAGTGACTTGGCCACTGACAGATAACATGGAAAATGTAAGCCAAGAGTGTGAAACACTGTCACTGTTTCTGCACCGCAGTCAAATGTATACCACACATTAGATAAAGTTTATACAAACATTGACCAAGGAAACACATTCATTCTCTCTCTGATTATGGACCATCGCCAAAACTGCCTGCCAGCAATAATATCTGGCCCGCCATCAGATTATGGTGCTTTGATAGTGGCAAAAAATTAAAATAAATAAACTTATTACTTCTTCTTCGTCGTCATCGTCGTCGTCGTCTTCTTCTTCTTCTTCTTCAACGTACATATAAGTAGTGTTGAGTGTCTACACTGCCTGAATTGTACCACTAGTAGAACCAGAAGAATGTAGTGACCAAACGCCTCTGCAGCGCTGTTTGTTCGTTTTCATGATGACATGACGGCGTAAATGTCGACGTCCATGGAAGGGGAGGACCGTGGTTATGTAGATAGAAATGGCTCATTCTAAGGTAATAAAAAAATAATGGTTCATTATGTAAGGTCTTTATACACAACTGAAAACATAGTTATTGATACTATATTGAATTTCTGTCACTAGATCCTCAGAAATATTACACACTGGACCTTTAAGGCACTGATCTGGCAGTGTGGAGGAGCAAGTTGTGCTACAACCTGCAGAAAGCACAGATTGTTTTGTTAAAGTGGTGCACTTAAGGAAATCAGACTGCATGTCAAACATGAACCAGTATTTTGTTATAATTTTTTTTTACCATTACTGCTTTTCATAAAAGGGACGCACCCCTGCTTCATATGTTTCACTGCAAATGTCATAAATCAGACATATTTACTAGACTATTTTTCTAAAATGCAACCAGTGCAGTGAGCCCTTACTGGAATATTCTGTGCCCTGGAAGGACAGGGTTGGCGAATCCCCTTACTCCTATACTTTCCATGGGTGCAAGGTTTCCTCCTTCAAATGTCAAATCAAACCTTTCCTTCATGTTGCTCATTTGTTTGCTCTGTTTTCTGACAAACAGAGGTCACTTTTTACAGCTTCATGTTGTTTGTACCCTCCTCCAATTGCATCCATGCCTTTTCATGGCCACAGTACCCTGAACAAGAAAGCGAAGACCTGGTATAAGTCAAGCACTGCATACTGAAACAATCATGGCCACCTAACAATTGGTATGGAGGGGGAAAGCCTTTACAGAAGTAATTTTGCAAGAGTTGTGGCCCACATGCATTCATGTGTATGTAGGATATTTCATACGCTATGCACTGCCAGCCATCTCTTTTCTTCCCCAGACAGATTTTGTCAACAGATCTGCTGAAGGACTTGGAGTGCGGCGTCTGACAAGGGCTGGCATTCAGTGTAGGGCACCGAGGATGGATGAGTGGCAAAATCTATGCTGCACTGCCTGAAGATCCTGGATACGTCAGGCCAGCTGTTGCATCCCGTCAAGGAGGCTTGATTTTTAAAATGTCTCCAGGTTTGTTCAGGTTCTTGACAAAGGGCTTGCTGGTGAGACAGGCAAATGTTTGAACAGCTGTTCTTATTGTTGCCGGGCTTCTCGCAGTCCTTCAGCAGGAACTAAGCACATACAGTATGGCTGAAGTACATGTAATGAGTTGAAAGAGGTTGCTGAGAAGGACGGTTACACCACTGTGTATTTCTTGTTAATAGTATCAGTAACCTTTGGAGGGGTTTTAATTTGGAAAACCCCTAACATTTGGCAAAGTCGCTGAATTTAAATCCTCTGGCTATAAAACTGTGAAGCTCACTATAGTTTTTTAGGGAAAGATATTTAGACATACTAGACATTTGTCACTAAACTAACTTGTGCAGAGATTATAGGTGATAATACTCCCGTAAACAGATTACATTTTAACACACTAGATTAAAACACTATATGATTGTAAACCTAATTATACCAAAGGCATAGTGTTTTGACTAAAATACGCTTATTGGCTTTCTAGCCGAGAGTAAGACGAGAATATCAATACCACACTCATGTCTGTGTGGCAAATATGAGGCTACCACCAGCAGCCATGCTCAGTTAGCTTAGCACAAAGAGTGTTAACAGGGTTGTTTGGACAGAGCTAGCTGTTTCCCTTTTTGTGTTAAGCTATGAGCTAGTAGCTTCATATTTATTGTACAAATTTCTGAGAATGGTATCAATTGTCTCATCTGACTCTCAGCAAGAAAGGGAATGAGTGTATGCCCAAAAATGTCAAAACTAGTTTTTTAAATTGGCCACAGTGTAGGCACTGCTTGCTGCTAAAGAGGGCAGTTAATCATGGACTATTGTTGGACAGTAGGCCCTTTTATGTTTGGGTTTTAGTTTCAGGACTGTCCCCCTCCCACTTGAGCCTCAGAGATATCACAAATATATGAAATTTATTTACATTTTAGAAAGATTTTGAACAAACTTGTGACCCTGTTGTTTGATCCGGTTAACACTGGAAATCTGAAATAAGCAGTTTGCTTGTGTGGAACTGTCTTCAAGAGCTTAATGTCTTCTGATGTGCTCCTGGTTTAAGTTACGTGATGACAAAAGCCCATAAATGACCCCATGGCAGCTGTAAGTGGCATAGATCTGTAGATTGTTAACCAGAGTAAGCACACCAAAGGTCACGCTAGAATATGAATATGCACTGGGAAACCTCAAAGTGTTTTTCAGTGTTTTTATCATGGATGTTAAAGACCTCAAAGTCTGTTTTTCAGGTTCTTCCTTTCACCAGCAGGCGTCTCTATTTTCAATCTTTCCTCCATCCTCTCTCCTCTCCTTCTCCCTCAACTACAAACATGCCATTGATAAAAGGATGTTTACAGTTTACAGTTACCCACTATTATGAGTGCTGTGTGTTTATATCAGAGGGCTCAGTTCATACACAACCTGCACTAAAACTGCTGCTTTTGAAGCCTATTTTCTTTACCAACCCTAATCCATCCACATCAGAGCTTGTAAACAGAAAAGTAGGGGATTTATTGTTTGGCTTAATGGTAAGAGTATTCTTAGATATAACAAGCCAAGGGTGCATATTTCAAGAATTACATCATTTCAGTGTAGCTAACCTCTATTGTATTCTATTTTATTGTTTGTTCATTGTCTTACACGTTCCAACCTTGTTTACCAAATGCCATTTCTTTAATTATTCTTTATTATAAGCTCAAATATCTGTCCATCTGAATTGAAGCTGGGTGTTGAAAAAATACTATTCCGGTTCTTTAATATAACCAGGGACGTTTCCAGGCTCTTGAAACATTGGGGGCTTAGCCCAGCCCAGAAATCTTTCATGCTATCACCCGTTTTCACCTGTTTTCACCCCACTGTGCAGCGTTACATTGTTACATCTTACCTGACTAGACACTGACCGACAACATTTATTTTGAAATATACTAATTACAATTTTGCAATGCAGAAGTCGCGGACAAGCCCTGAAGCTGTGAACAATGCGCTTTCTCTCTCTCTCTAGTGCTCTCTCTAAATGCAGGCAGTCTGAGTAACGGTGGGGGGTCACATTAGATGAACTTCAAACAAAATGTAGCAATATTATTGCGGGTAGCCTTCATTCTTTGAAGATCTGCGAGAGAGGCTGTGTCACGAAGATTATTACATATTAACATGGAAAATATTTTTGTTGCTGTTGTTGAGTTACATTCGGGGCTACAGACAATACATCCGGGGCTAAAGCCCTGGAAAAATGACCTGGCAACGCCATTGAATATAACCATTTTTCAATCTGCAGCCCACAGATGCAAACCAATGCTCGTTATGTTATTACAAAGGAAAAATTGGGATGCGTAAAGACATAGTACCGCCGCAGTCCGCACTAATGTGTGCAGACAAGCTGCGGCACTGCTGGGGTACACACAGAAGAAGTGGTGAGAAGCAGAGCAGACACGACCCTTCTGAATTTGCATCCATGACTGTCGGCTGTCCCTAATTTAACTCGGAGCGATGTAATTGGCGATGGTGGATTTGTTTACCATATTTGGCAAGATAGTGACCCAGCGCGCCTGGGAATTGGACGAGAACGGCCGTCATTCACAAAAGTCTGCCTTCTGGAGCTTTACAAACAAAGCGGGTGCACACGGGAGTTGTAGTCCAAAACAAACCCCTTATAGGACCACACGAGTGTGGGTTTAGCTCGTCTGCAGCAAACTCAACGCCACACATGTGCCACAATTTAAAATACACTTGCTGTGATGAACTATTTTCATTTAATGTGTCTTTAAGTGTTAAAACAACCCCGCACTAGGCGGCTAAAGTCACGCCGATCCGGGACCCTAAGCGCGCAGCATACAAATCCCACCAGCGACGCTCTCCTCTGATTGGCTGTGTCCTTCTGTCAATCACGCGATGCTCCTTCCACCACCGCTCCTACAGTAAATATTTGTGTTTGCTCAACCGGCTGTAATGGTGGACGACTGAGTCAGAGAAAACGGAATACAACTAGAGTGAAGAAAGAGAGGAAAAAAGGGTCGAAAGTCTGTTTGAGAGCCAGTCGCCGCGAGTAGGACACGGGCTTCGTCGAAAATGGATGAACTCAAACATCAAGTCATGATTAACCAGTTCGTCCTGACGGCGGGTTGTGCGGCAGACCAGGCGAAGCAGCTCTTGCAAGCGGCACATTGGCAGTTCGAGGTAAAAACAGACAAATAGAAAAAGATAAGGCTTCAGCGTTAGAGTCGGGTCAGGGTGATATTAGCCACCCGGCTCATGTCTATGTCAGACCGTTAGGTTTGGCTGGAGGCTGCCTGTCTGCCCCTCGCCACTTTTTAGCCTCTTGAAATTCAACACAAAACAAAGCGTTAGTGTTAGCAATGTGTCGGTTTTAGGTGGCCAACACTCGGCCCACTTTTTGAACCAGAACTTTATTTAAAGTAAATATATGTGTGCTTTAGCCAGATTAAATCTGTAGGGAACACGCAGCAGGTCGAAGCGTAACGTTACAGCTAGCATATCCAATTAGACTTTACTCTAGATTAAATACTATAACGTTAATCCGACACATGACAGCGGCGTACAGGCGAGGCCAGCTAGTGCTATTACGCAATAAAGATCGACTAGCCTACTAAAGAGTACTTCTAATTGTTTAGTCTGCGGTGAGCCGCATGTAACGTTACATTTAGCTTGTACATTTTCTTTGCCGCAGGCTCGCTGTGTTGTTTAAGTTGTATTTGTAGCAGCACAGAAACAAGCAATGTTTGGGCTAACTACCTCCCTAGGTATTTTTACTGCTCTTCTGTGAAACATAAAAATACTGCCACCAAAATGTCATTCATTTTCTCTTTCATTGTAGACTGCCCTCAGTGCCTTTTTTCAAGAGACAAATATCCCATATGGCCATCATCATCAAATGGTGAGTGCGAGGAGGGGTTGATGAAAATGTACTATATACTGTTTATTGTTCTGTTTATGTAATTTTTAACAATCCGGATTTCATGCTAGTACATCTTTAAGGCTACTATGTTGTTTTGGGTGGGATGGAGTGTGTGCGCGTGTGTGTGTGTGTGTGTGTGTGCGTGTGTGTGGGGGGGGGGGGGCGATGAACAGCCCTTATAGGCCAAGAGGGATGATGTTGTTACTAACAATAACAAAGCACATGTCGGCCATGTTGTGAGCTTCCAGAAATAAACACACAGGCAGGCATGCAGCTGCAGCAGCCAGAGAGAGAGAGAGATTGTATATATGAGAGAAAAAGGGAGCAAGAAAGATAGATATGAAATTCCTTATTTTTAAGTGCATCAACTGAAGGAAGGGCCCCTCAGTCTGTGGGTAAGGCAGAAAATGTCTCTTTCCATGAAGAGGACAGCTGCCTCTCACTAAATAGACCCTCGTGCTATATGCCTCGGGTAATTCAGCTGTTTTCCCTGGTTGTGTTACCTGCCCAAGGCACAACGCACATTGGGGTCTTTATGGGGGCAGAGTGATCTGGAAGGTGTTAGGGCTGCATGAGACTCTGCATGTGCACACAGGGGTTGAACATTATGAAACACTGGCAGTATTTGGGCTTTTATCAGTAGTCTACTTTGGCAGCACACAGGCCTTTGTTTGCAGCTACATGCATGGCAGCATCCAGCAACAGCTGCCCTCTGGAAGAGCTTGACATGGATGTGTAGTTTTTATCATTTTTAGGCTCACGCTCCATTTTGTGAGCTTGTTTGGCTCACTGTTTGTGTGGCAAAGGCTGTTATCAAACTGCTTTTATCTTTGTATTTCTAGAGGAAACAGAGAGAGCTTGGGATAAAGGGGGATTTGTTTTTTATATTGCATTGTGTGTGAGCGCATATACATTTATACCATCGGAGTAGTGCAATATCGCCAGTCAGCGTCAGAAACGTCTCACACTGAGCTGAATCATATTCATCACAGCTCTATTGTAAGAAAGAAAGCCAGACCTCCTTTATCATCTGATCATTAAATAAGAGTATCTCAGTTCTCTATTTAGCTCACGAAATGTCTCGCTTTAATTTAGAGAGTAAACAATCTGCCAAGAGCCTGTCCTGTTCTGCCTGCCAAATAGGGCTGAGCTTGATTTCTCCAGACAATGGAGAATGAAAGTCAAAATGCAGAGCACCTACTGTGTTTGTGGTGTTATTGTTATAGACATGCTCTTCTTACATAATCACGAGTTCACAATCTCTTTTTCTTTTTTCTGCATACGCCGGCATGCACGTGCGTCTCTTGTTTGTGCTTTACGTGCACGCATTTGGATTTGGTGCATTCGCAGAGTGGGCGTTTGTGTGTTTGTGTGTGAGTCACAACAGTACTACAGTAGGGCAGCGTGTCCAACCTTCCTGCAGCTTATCAGGCTGCAGTGTTCGTTGGTATACAAATCTAATCCCCTCTGTGCGCGCTCTCTCTCTCTCTCTCTCTCTCTCTCTCTCTCTCTCTCTCTCTCTCTCTCTCTCTCTCTCTCTCTCTCTCTCTCTCTCTCTCTCTCTCTCTCTCTCTCTCTCTCTCTCTCTCTCTCTTCAGTTTAGAGTGAACACAGACACCATTAAGTTACATTTGTGTGCTGTTGTGGTGCTGTGCTGTCTCGTCAATGATTCTTTTTTGTTACAACACAAACTGAACTCATCCTTGAGATTGCTATTTTGGCTAGAAGCCTCACCCCAACCCTAATGGCCCCAACAGATAGCCTTCAGACATGCTGTTCTTGGCAGCATGGCAGGTTAGGACGCCATGTAGGTCAGTTAGTTTACGGATACTGTTCAGTGAGCTGCTTTTTGCAATTCTTTTTGAGGCCTGGAAGACAATGTATGCGGCTGAATGTAGGGTTGCGCGATCGCCTCTATTTTTGTACCGTCTGATCATAGCTACTTGAGATCACCGAATGGCGATCTGATCGCCAGGGGGCGGGGTTACATTTGCAGTGAAATGCCAGCATGGAAGAAACAGGCTTATTAGATTTAAAGAGTTGGTATTATGGTTTTTGGGGTTTCCCTCTCCTTTATTGAGTTATATATCTTTTTTGTGCATGTAATAGGTTTGCAAAGTGAAAAAGCCCAAAGTCCACCCCAAAGGGAGTTCCCATCTACCACAGAAAGCTCTGCTCTGAACCGCCTGAAAACAGCTCGTTTGTAGTCCAGCCTTTACTTCCCTTTCTTGTGATGTCACAATGAAAATACGTGTCATTATGCTCGCTGCCCGACACGCCCTCAAAAACACCAGTGGAAAAACACTGAGCTGCAGCACACCTGTCCTCTCCCTTCCAAACACTAGCTACCCTCCAAGCAGTCAATGGAGATAAAGTTGTTATTGTGATGTAGAGACGGAGCTCAGTTAAAACTTTATGGATGAAAGATACTTTTGTTACAGATTAATAACTCACCGCTCTGAAACTCTTGCTCCAGTCCAAATTGCCAAGCTGGTCCGCAACATGTAGCCTACAGCTGAATAGAAGCTGTTTACCGTCTTTTCGCTGACCTTTCTCTGCTTCTGATTGGCTAGTAGTCCTTAACTAGGAACTGCACATGTGCAACTCCCAGCAAAGAACATTTAGAGACAAGATGTATCACTCCAGAGCTAAAACGAAGCGTTCAACACAGGGTGAAAAGAGGAGCTGCACCAATGTGCAGTATGATGAAAAATATGGTGTTTTTTGAAAATTAAACCATGTAAACCTGTTCTGGTACAACCCCTAAATAGGATTTTGAAACTGAAAATGAGCATAATAACCACCTCTGTAAGAGAAACCACCAGAAATATCTGTAAATACAGTGCAGTGTTTCCCACAGAATTACCCTGTAACTGTGGCGCTGCACACGCGTGGCGGGGAGAAAGAGGGTGCAAACGATAGCAGCTATGTACAGCGTGTCAACCTCGACAACCTGGCTGTATTCTAACTTTAACATATCTGTCTCTGACATTGACAGCTTTGTGTTAAGAAAATAGATAGACTAACTTGTCAGAGTTAACTTCAATGCATTATTTTTTCTTTAAAGACACGGCTCCGTTACGATGTGTTTGTGAGAGAGAGGGAGCGAAGGAGCAAGCAAGCAGAGGTGCTGAATGAATCAATGCGTTGTGCACAGCTCCACAATGAATTATGACTTTATTCATATTAAATGGTATATAATATGTGGCGTGTTGTGTTGCCACAAATAAATCAATGGCTGGGAAACACTGCAGTTTGGTGCATTCGCCAATCGCCAATCGGAACAACCAAATCACTTGCCCATCTAAGTTCGGCATCGTGGGAGAGAAACCATCTTGCATACAAATATGCTGTTTAATAAATAACTCGAAACAAAGCTCCTCTGGTGAGGATTTGTAGCAGACATGAGGATGGCATTCAGATTGTACGCCAAGTCTCATTTTGTTTACCTGTGCTTTGCTAATGCGTCATTTGTGCATAGTATGTCAGAGGTTTATACAGTGGATCAAATTTCAAATAGTGAGGTGAGTTCACCTACTCATCAGTGCAGTCTTTTATAATGCTGTGGATAGTAGAGGATTTAGCTAAAGCTCTTGTTATTGTTATTTCCTTTTACAAGCAGTCCCATATGCAGGGGAGTGTCTGTGCTTTGGCACATGATGTAAAACAGCTACAAACTCTGCACAGGCACACATTTAAGGCTGTTTATTGTTGTGTGTATGTGAAATATGTCAGTGAGAGCAGTACAGCCACATCATGTGTCTTTAACACATTGTCCGTATATCTCTTTAATTTTGGATGAAGCCATCGATGCTTACATCTATTCTCCAGGATGGACACCCAGGCCCTAAGCTCAAGGCAACCCCTCCCGGCCTACTACCCTGCCTTTGCAAACAATGCAACCACAACACATTCCTACAGGACGCAAACACTTGCTCAGACCCAAAATGGAGCCTTTCACAGCAGAGGGGGGCCGGTTATAACTAAAAACACAGCACCCTGTCTCTTTCTTTAGTTTATCCACTCTCGCTCCTCTCATCGCCATATCTTTCTGTTTACTGACACAAAAAACATCAGGCTCTAGAATTCAATTTGCCATTTATGTTTGCTGTTATAGGACTTTATAATGGTGCCGCGTACTCATCGTCTCTGTTTTGCATCATTCTCAAAGTAGTTACCACCCCCAGAACAATCAGCATATTTGCATGATGTCAGAGTTGTATTTATGTTGCTCCTGGCTATTTGATGGTAATCCCTCTTATCAAATATTCTGCACATATTCTTTGTTTTTGTACATTTTCTAAGGATGAAGCTAATTTTTGAGGCGTTTTTAAATGAATCCCCCATATAAAGTCTGAGCTATTTCTGATCCCCAGTTGGAACGCCAGCTGCCATGCTCTTTCACATACCGTCACCTCAGTGCAGAATAAATGTGGTCATTTGTAAGCAGAACCACCTAAAATGACTTCATGTGTGCAAGAGAAAGATTTCCTTGGAACTAGCTCCTTCTTGTGCACATGAGCAACTCTGGGAAGTGTTTTTCTTGTCAGTCATCGTGTTTTTTGAGTGAGCTGATCTCATAACTGCGTGTATGCACCAATATCAGTGTTTCCATGGTTAATATCTCTCCATGTGGGGCGCTTATACAGCCATAATAAAGTGAATGAATCCTCATGTGACCACAGAGGAGGAAGTGGCCCAGCTGGATGATTCCACTGCTGTCTGGGAACATGTGACCCTCATCATGTGACTAAGCTGGGAAACGTACTAACTAAGCCACAAAAGCCTGCTTCACATGTGTGTAATGTCTGCTATGGCTAGTAAAAAGAAGTAAAGTCTGGACTTGCGGTGTTGAGTTTGTAGTAGGTCAGGGTAATCTCCTCAAGACATATTTCAGGTTCTCCTTTTCCTCTTGAATCATATCAGAAAAGCATATCAGAGTGAGAACAGGAGGTAGATGTACTATAAGAGTGCAACAG